AATACGTTTTTTTAAAAAAGAGGACCGAAGAAGGAAACAAAAATCACAGAAAATCTAAGAAAATGCACCATTATAAATTTGAAAAATTTACAAACCAATCATTTTTGACTGCTTTGTGATAAGTGTTAATAATAGGAGTACACTGTATGTATCTTGCCTGCAAAACATTCTATTCGAATTTCTTTCGGGTTTATAATTACGATCATTTTACTACTAATGAGAGAATATCTTCCATCGAAATTCGAAACAATTTTTTTTTTTGTCAAAATATAGACAACTCTCTATATTTCGGCGGAGCCGTTAGAATTTTTTTAATATAAAACATGTAGGTGACTATAGCATAAATTAAGATACTGTATAATGACCAACTCAAGAAAAATAAGATTTCGTTATTTATCAATATTAAATTCTCCTTGCCAGACCAGAGCTTGAGAACAGTGTGTTTATGTTTTCACAGGACAGATTAGCTCAAAAATGTTGCAACGTGTATTTTTGCTAAATAAATTGTAATAAAATATGTAGAAATGCAACTTTTTACGTTCCTCGTCTAATATGATGCACTATACACAATTCCCCCCCCCTCCCCCCTCCGCCTTCCCCGAGTTTCATTCCGGTTCCTGCAGTCCATTTCCGTTAACAGTCCGAAACTGTTTCGTTTCGTTTGCAATTTTAAAAGCCCGAACTATGCCATGAAAACCGTAATCGCTGCGCGAATTCGCATTCGCGGGATAATAAGTCGGCGAATAAGTTTCGTTCGTTCTGGCCCCAATACGCGGAGAGATACGCTCAGTCCCATTCGTTGCCCTTAACTGTTTTACGGCGTCCATCTACAAACCAAGGTCGGGATGCGCGCCGAGAAATTTACGTCGCCCGTGGAAACCTCGCACCGCTTTTTACGCCGCGCGGCTCGTAAAGATGACGTCGTCCGGGAGGATAAATTCACCTTGTTAAAGCCCTCCATCGTCGTTTAACTCCGTGGCCGTCTCAAGGCTGTCATACAATATACGTGCGAAGTACTGCGTTACGCGCGCGTTGTGCCTTCATTCTTCTACAAATTCGGGACTGACTTGTAGGTCTCCGTTCCAGAAAGCGGGCACAAGTTGGAAGCGAAATAAAGACGTAAGCGCGATCGCGAGATATCCTTCTGGTCTTTTAGGTACATATCCTGCATAAAATGAGCGCCATAGAAATAAGGTACTTTTAGCGAAAGATATATCGATCTTTATCCTCGCTGCGAAGTTCCGATTAAGTCAGCGCGCCTGATGGAAAATAGCGATTCGTTGCGATTATTCTTACCAGTGTCTTCGTCGACTGCAAGCACATCACGAGGGGCACTAGCAGATCTGACTATCTGAGACATCTCTCTTCGCAAGTAGAAAAATCATAACTGTTCAAGAATACGCGACGCAGTGAAATTGAAGACGAGATAATATTACTTGACAAATGTGCACACGTTTTACAAAGGTACTCCTCCACTTCTCGTATTCTAACGTACGTATTAATTCTGGAAAAGAAACAGTTCTTTAACAACGCGTTCGTCTCTACCTGCATAAAAATTGCTAAATTCCATTGGCATGAATCTGACAGACGAATATAAACATTGCACCAGAGAAATTTGCAACAATCTGTTGCAATTATTTCATCAAATATATTCGTTGTCTAATGAAAAAGATTAAAGACGAATAAATTATGTTATATTAAACGCAAAAATTTCAATTACTTCATAACCCATGTAAAATATTAATAATTAATTCGAAGTAAAGTGAAGTTCATATATAATTTTACGTATTTGTTTGCAAAATACCTTCTGCTTTTCACAGCTCGGGATAAACTCGGGATATTTTTATTTTCTCACACGCGGTTTCTTTAACGCTTGCCAGTTGAAACAGCTAAAACAACAATTAGTTCTCTGGCGCAATTAGTTCGCCAATTTACCAAGGGGCTATAAATCAAAGCCGCGATTCAGGCGCGTAAAAGGTAAATCATCATTTCAGGACCGTTTCGTAAATACGCACGAAACGTCGCATAAAATTCGCACGGCCTCATCAAAACTGGAAATGGAAACGCTTCTCGTGAGAATGGATTCTGGAGAATTGAATGGCGAATTTGAAGGGACTCTCAGCTCTCGCGCAGCTGTAATTCCCTCGGTGCCTTGTCACAAATACATGAGTGCATCGCCGGTAGATCCCCGATTCCTACTCAGCGCGATATCGCGATACATTACGAATGAACTTGAAAAGACGAGGCAGCAGGATTATTCAATAATAATCGCTCGAAGCAGGCGAATCGGGGGAAATGCAGCGGCGAACTGTTGAGATTAATTGGACAAAAGTGCACGACTCTAATCCCTCGTCGTGACGAAGTCGCTTTCGAAGACTACGTTGCGGGAAAGCGCAATAAAAGTAACGTAACATGCGAAGTAGCGCGATGGTACCGTAAAGTGCGAAAATTTCATGTGTGAATCACCTTTCTTTTCAACTTCTCTCGGTGCAAAATAAATTCCGTGAAAAATTGTTTTTACGTTAGCGTTATAAATATTTCTGGTTCAATTTAAAGTAATCCTACCAAAAGAAGTACAAAGAATTGAGAGATTGATTGATGATGATGATAAAAATAGCGTGTCGGCGTGCGTTAATGAGTAGTCCGTCTCGATTCGGTGATTAAATCCTACATGTAGTTTACATTCGATGTGTGATTCGACGTGTCTCGTATTTATACATTGTGTCTCTGCTCCGCTCTTAATATATATTTACAATTTATCTTACTTCAGAAGTTGCACGAGTCGAGAGCTATTTTACAGCCTGTTCGTTGGACAGTCTATTTGATCGGCGAGGCTGCGTTATCGGTTCGTTGTAATGTGCTACCATACGGCAAGAAGTCGAGACGTGCTCTTTCGAGGATTACGGTAAGTCGCCACTTCAAAGATAGGCGAACGGATCTTCGAGATATACGGAATGTGTCAGAAACATCGCCATTCTTTTCATTCACAGATTCTTTTAATCATTAATCAAAGCCAGATTTTCTTCTTTCGTTTTTGTCAGCGAAAAATTGTTACTTTAACAGAAATTTATAGATTTCAAGATATAATTGTTTTTTTCTTAAAAAATTCCAATTTTTAATTTCTATTTTTAAAAAATACTGTTTTACTAAATTCAAGTAAATTCTATTTCAGATCTTCATCTTTGTTAAAACATATATTTCATTCTAAACTGGTCGAGCGAAAGAAATGTAGCTGCAGAAAGTAGCAACAGTTTCGAAACGTTTCGCAGAATCGACCAAAGTAATTAATCTTCCCATGCAAGGATTTACTTCCTTCAACTAGAAGAGGAAAAACCTGGGGGAACATAATTATAAAGAAGTATCTTTTATACCAAATAATAGGAAAATACATATATAATAAGACAATAATATAGAAAATGATAAAAATATATTAGGAAACACTATGACTTTAGCTTCTAAAAGCTCTTGAAATAATGACTAAGTAAGATACTTCTCTTCTTGTCCCTCAGATTCCAATCTTCTCATTAAATCTCTTTATTAAAAGGGCTTTAGTCATTAGCGCGTAAAGTTTGTAGAACCTTTGGACGATCTCTCAAACAAGAACTTGTATCAATTAAACTATTACATATATAAAGCAGAAGTACCCTCTCTATTTCGGGACACGAGATCAAAAACGCATGAGAGGATTAAGAAGCGATACGTCGCGCGTATATATCGTTTAATCTCACCGATGCACAGCAGACCAGGGAGCTCGAAAAGGTGTTCCAAAATTCAAGATATCGTTAGACTTTTCTGAAATTGGTATTTAAAGGTTTTCGATGTCATTGATAACGAATCTGACACCAAGAAGTTCAAAATTAAAAATGACTCATTCACGCGCCAGATACTCCGAGCACGTCCCGTGATCATGTGCGAGCCCTATATAAATTCCTTTATAAAATCAAAAAAGATGAATAATGGAATTTAAATAATTCTTCTCTCGATAGAAAAACATAGCTCAAATGATAAAATCAGTACGTATACGCGCACAATCGTGAGGTCATAGTCAATCCGAGCGATTGGAACTTAATTGCGTTTACGCGTGGAAATTACAGTATTCACAAAATATCGCATAATAGGCTTAAAGTCGATATTACAATGAAGATTCTAACACCTTGAATTTTTTATTAGAAGGTGGAACTTCGGGGAACTGGGAAACGGCAATTTGTACAAAATCGAAAAGAATAAAAATGTTGTCACAATACTCAAGTTAAGTTAATCCCGTATATCGTCGTTATTTTTTTAAATTCAAATACTAGTAATATTGATATTACATGAAAGAAAAACTTCACAAATTATTAAGTTCAATTTTTTAAAAATTATAATTATGTTAAGACTCAAGTAACATTTCTATTTTTATAATGCTTCCATAAAAACAAATATCTACCCACTTGTAAAAAAATTTCTCCGCAACTACTTTAACTCATCTATTTGAAGATATGTTGATATTTGGCCACTTTTTCGAGCTCCCTGGCCCACTGCGATGTCGCGCGGCGTATCGTCCACGTCATCGATTTGTCAACCGTCGTTGCTTACACAAAAAAAAATGCAAATATACCTCTTCCTTCGAGGAGATCCTCGCAACAGATGCTGTCCCATTAAGTCACTCTCGAAGTTCTCGCCTTTTCGAGGGCTCTTCGCCCTGTACCGTGCCGTTTGCACCGACACTCGATGACCCTCGCAGCGTATGGTTGCTGGGCAAACGATCCATTTAACGGTTCACCGAGAGAGACGCGCCGGCGATCACTACTCGTTCGGAACGAGCCACTCTCGAAGGGCCCGCGCGGCGGGCTGTCAAATTTACACTGCGGTCGCTCCATCGACTGTTATATTACGCGCCCGCGTCGGACGCCGCACGGGTATTCCAGCGGCAGAGCTCTTCTCCGCGCGCTGTCATGTACCTTCGACGTAACACAGGAGGCCCGATCTCTCCTCCTCGGACGCGGGAGAAAGGAGGCGCATTAACTCGTCCTTTCGAAGGGACACCGGGGAATCAGCAGAACGACGGGCATCAGAGGCATCAACGGCGTCAGCAGCAGCAGCAGCAGCAGAAGCGTGGGGCCGCCGGCCGACGTGCGGCGGGGACCGGCGGCGGCGGATTTCGTGGGTGGATTTCGCATGCGGTCGTTCATCACGTCGCTGGATATCGCCGCGCTGTTCGGCTCTGCCGAGGGACAGCTTATCGGCGCGGCGTTCATTGTGTCGCTGGCATTCGCGTTGTTCGTAGAATCCCGGGAGCAGCGGCTGGCGTGATGGGCCAGACAGGCGGCGTAGGCGATCGCGTGCGGGATGTAGCTCTGGTCGACGCTACCGGAGAACAGGGCGCCCGCGAGGGGCCCGACGGCGAACACCGGCACATCCTCACCTCCGTGCGTCGCCCACGCCCTCGGCACGCCCGCCGTCTGTAATTATACATCGTTACAGATGCAATTACTGCGCCTGAATCGAAACAAGGGAAATTGCACACGGGGCTTCCCGGCGCGTCCTGTCGGAAAATTTCACAGGGTCGGATGAGAATGCAAATAGAAGAATTGAATCTATGATAGATGACTATAATGACAGCCAAATTTGCAAATTTGGCAGAACAAATTCAAAGACGACTATATAGTGTCAATTCGTGAAACGTAACCGGGGTAAAGAATTTGTGAGGAGTTAATTGATTATTAAATTAAAATAAATCATCTTTAATTTAACGTTTATAGTGACGAAGTGGAGTAAAATGTATATTTATCGATATTTCTTTCTAGCATGAATATTAAGATATATGAAAAATTGTATATTAAACTCACTTTAGAATTAGAATTGAAATACAAGAATTCTGTTTGTAATTTTATATGTCGTGTAATAAAGAAGACATTGGAAAAATCAGAGATACAAACTCAGATAATATGTTTTGAAAGACGTTATAATATTTCAAAGATATTTTATAAAACTAAAAGAAAGACATCTGTATGTAACGTCTTGTATTTTAATTTATAATGTCTTTCAGATAAATGGAATCGCTTTTCGACATTACATGGCAAAGTAAAAATTAATTAATCACGTTAACAAAAGAAAAACGCAAAAAAAGGAATTGAAGTTGCTCGCTAAATCGGTATGTAAATAATTCAAAAATATGACTTCTGTATTATTCCGACACAAATAACGCTGTGAATAATGAAAAGAATTCTGTCAAAAAAATGTTGAAGATTGTTTATCATTTTACGCGAGAGCAGTACCTACTTCGTAGCTGCTGGGTAATGGAGCATTATTTTTTAATGAGTCGAGGCCGCTTTTATAACTGTGGCTATATAGAATATAGTAGTAAAACGACAGTATAACTTTTCATGGCGTTTAACATGTAAATTGAAAAAATGTTATAGCGGAAAACGTCGAATTGTCACAGACATGTATGTATGTGTGCGCGCGTGTGTAAAAATCGCACATAAAAACATACGATTTTTTCCCTCTTTTCCCCAAGAGAAATATGTTTATACTTTTTTACAGGAATATATATTTCGTAAATGTAATTTAACTTGTGAAATACGAGGAAAATTTTTGTAATAATATATTGTGTATTAAAAATAATAAAATTAATATTAGATAATAAAAATATATTTCACTCTAAGCATAACAAATCAAAAAAAGAGAAAATTTTCATTAATTGTGTTAATTTTCATATTAAACATTTATATAAAAATAATTTTGAAAACAATATTGCATTCAAATTTGCACACAATTAAATAACAATAATAAAAGAAAATTAATCTTTTACATGCGTTGCAATACAAATAACTTTCATATTCATTCTTTATCATATAAAAATAAATTTAGCAACAATATTGCGTCCAATTTTGCATACAGAATAAAATAACGATAATAAAAGAGGCATTATAATTAACCTTTTGCACACTTTGCAATATACGATATGAAATTAATAAATTAGTAGTTTTAAAAAAATTATAACTTTAATTGTAACTTCTAAAATGTTTTTAATATCGACACTCATTGTCAATATATTATTTTGTATCACCATCTTGTTCAAGCAATTTATTACATAGTTATTTAGTTTTTTCACAGTATTTAGACTTTCTTACATTACTGCATTTCTAATGCTAAAATCAAAAACACACAAAGTAAGGTTCAAGGATTGGTAGAAAATACTGCTCTCTTTTATCTCATTGAAATTCGTATTGCTTTAAAATTGAACTCCTTCCTACGGAAACCGCGCGCACATTTTAGAATTAAAACGAGAATAAAATTAAAGCAGCTGGTTCGAAAAGATATCGCCGCGAGTTCCAGCTACGACCCCGCTGCAGTTCCCTCTGCATTTTATTCCGCCTGCGGCTACGCGGTGCGGCTCAAATGAGGCGCGCTGTTGCGGCGAAAAAGGGAATTCTCTCACAATATTTCCTTCTCGTCGAGACATTGTAAACCCTTTGCCGCGATCTCGCCTCGACGATCAGATGAAAGGCCACGGCACGTCCCGGAGCGCGGTCTACTCTCGGGGCAGGGGAGAAGTGGTTTCGCGCAATGAGAGTGGAACGAAGCTTTATGCCCGTAGGAGAGACAACAAGTGCCGGGAATATGGCGATGGAGTGGCGATGATGACGACGCGGAGATGCCTATTTTTTTTATCTTCCTCTTACTTATCCTCTTTTCTACTAGCTTATATTCCGATGAGCAAAAGAAATTACAATCGATTCGATGCGAAAATTCGTGGCGCATTAATAAATGGGAAAGACTATAGATTTACTCTCACGTCGAACCAACCAGTAAGATGGATACAATTTTTTTCTCTTTTCTTCTTTTGTGATAAAAATCGGAAAGTGTAGCTCTAAAAGCATTCGATATTGTTACGTCGGTTGGACACACTCTGAATCACATGATTTAAGTAGAATCATTTAATACTTGTATATTCAATATCTCTTTTCGGACATTGTAGCAGCTTTCGCTCCGACTGAGATCGAAAGCACAAACTATTCATGCAAAAGATATTCAGTATCGAAAGCAAAATATCAATAATTCCACAGTAAGCATCGCTGGTCTTGTCAAGGATGCAAAAGGGATGCACTACATTCACTGAACGCTATGAGAATAATACAAAGGACGGAGTTGCGCTTTTCTCAAGAATACATGGAACAAAAACTTTACTTATTATGAATTTGTCAATGGAGAAAGAAAGAGAGAATGAGAAAGGGATAAATTTCATTGTATAATAATAATATAAAATAATATAAATACAAATAATAAATACAAAAATTAAAGATAAAGAGCGGCTTTTTTAGTTCAATTTATCTTTAAAAATATATAATTAAATTAATACTATTTTGTATACTAAATGGACAGAATAAAGTCAATTAAACATACAGAAAAAGTCTGTCGTTCTTATTGGTACATAGTAAAAATTCGCTTTTTTATAATATGTTTACTTTTACCGATTTATAAATGTATATTTCTCTTTGCGCTAACAAAAACAACGAATTTTTACAAAGAAATTTTTAATTCATTTTATTCTGTTTTCATTTTATTATACCAGATAACAATTATTTAATTTCAGCAGTTTCCCGATTGTCATCCTATGACAATCTACATAAAAAATTCTCTGAGAGTACCTTTTCTGACAAAGAGCACTTGTCTGAAAATAATCGCGCGAATAATCGTATTTGTTGAAAATAAGTAGATAAAAATTCCGCCTGCGTTCGCGCATCCCTTTGCCAAATCCTGTCAGCGACCATGCGTTCGCCTAAGAGAAATCCTATACCAGCGACGATGATTGCGTAAAGTAACGTCGGGCTGCTGGGTGGATCCATCGGAGCAGAGGACTAAAGAAATGGCGTCTTAAGGAATTATGACCCGTCGAGAGAGCGTTAAATATCGTAAGGAGTTAGCGTTATCCGCCATCGGTACATCCCAGAGCTCGCTGTTTCTATTGGGTAATGCGAAAGCTCGGAGATATCGCGCAGCGAAACATACTCGTGCACTTTATTCCCGGCAACAAAATCTATGGAATGGACCGGGACATCCGAGCGCTTACCGAGATAAACAAGATACACAAAGGCGGTATAACGACTATAGCCATTAGATTTATTAAAGAACCGCCGCGGCAGATTGGATTGGATTCTTAATTTGCTTATCTTGGACATTTATCACAATATGAGTTGTCGTATAAAATCTATTTTTCGAAGAAATATTAAACATTTGAATCTCTTGAATTTTCATTTTTTGTCCCGCGCTCTTTCCTCTCTCTCTCTCTCTCTCTCTGTCTCCTCTTTCTCTCCTATAAAATAAACCTTGGTAAGAACAAAAAGGAACATTCACCAGCGAGTGTTATACGGGACAAGAAATTCTGGGCGAATAAAGAACGAAGAAGGTTGCTTTAAAACATCTACAAGATATTTCATGCGGGGTGAGCACCCTCCTGCGAGCCCCGATGAAGTCGACCGTGCGGGGCGGAACTGATTTGTACCAGTTTGCGCTTCAGGAATGCAGAGGAGTGCGCGGCATAATGTGAGGGCGAAAGAAAACGCGAACGGGCAAATTATCGAAGCTGAAAAATTCTCATTAATTTGCGCGCTATACCTATCGCGCGAACGAAGGGAGTCGACGTCTACTAAATAGCTCGATATCAGCCCGGCACCGGTGTTTAATTCGTCCTGGATATCTGAAGCATTAACTCCCAGCGTGTAATTGCAGACATAAATCACTGAGGTGGGTAATAACGTACCTGCATTTTATTACACCGTGTCGGTACGTATATAAAATGTGAGGACAGATAAGTCGCAGTTCCAACAGAGAATATTTTTATAAGGTAAACACGTTTCGGTGTGCTACTTAAATATCGATCGTCCCGGCGATAATTATTCTCATAATCAGCACGAAGACACGCCGCTATTTTTGCTAGGTAAAAATATGAAAACATTAATTACCATCGCATCATGAACCACGAAACAGAATTCTCACGGATTAAGCTCCAGAGATAGAAGTAAATAACGGGAAACATTGTTCATCGTTTAATTTATACCAAATATTCATCGACCGTAAATTTTAGAGCGTTCCGTATATCATATTATATAACGGGATATGTATTTATTTTTTAAATACATATCCCAATATATACAATTTAAATACATATTAAATTTCGTTTTTAATGTTGTATTGACTCCTATCTCCGTTAAAATAATACAATCAATTTCAAATTAAATATTTCGAGCAAAATTTTACATTATCGTATCATTTTACAATTAAAATTTTAGTTATACAATAATTCGTTTGAAGATCAGATTATGGGGATGGACAGTAATTCTCGAGTCCTCTTCACATTCTCGAGATAAACAATTTCGATCGGAAATTAGGTCACTGTTTACCTTGGCACCACCGCGTACACATTTACTACTTTGTATTATGGTCATGAGATTTGCTG